GAGATGGTGGATGATGGATGGCAGGTCGGTTCGCTTCCACCGATGCTCCAGGGCATCTGCTGCAGTGTGGGCTCGCTGCTCTACTTGGGGTATACCTATCCCCCAGAAACCCCTCCTCCACCAGCTGGAGGTCAGGGTGTCTGAGTGGCTTCACACATGGGTGGGCCTGCTGCAGTGTCCTCTTCCTTTGTGGGAGGGTAGTGGTCATCAACCAACTGGTCTGGTTTACACCTTGGCACCACTTCATATCCTGCCAGTGCCCCCGAAGCTCCTGGCGAGGCTCCAAAGACCTCCTCGTTGAGCCCTGGCTGAAAAACCCACAGCTGGTGGTGCCAGCGCCAGAGGTGCCCTGGAGGATGGCTCTGGCCAACATCACTCGTATTACGGACCTCCTGGACTATGCCATGCAGGGGTGGACTGGTCCCTTTGTGCTGGCCCAGTGCATGGAGCTGCCCACACTGCATGTGCCCTGCTGCCTACTCCAAGAGATCAAGGCTGCCCTGCCGGACACTGCCCTTGACTGCATTGACCAGGTCCTGTACAAGTGTAGTTTCTGCCCCCTGGTATCCCCCAGCCCTCCAGAGCTCGTTATGGGGCACCTGCCTTGGCAGGCCCCATGGAGCTACCCCACACCTTGCCATCTTTGCAGGCTGGGGGATACCAAGCCAGCCTGTTTCCAGACCTCCCATTGCTGCCAGCTCTACACGTTTGTGGTTTGCACCCTCCCTCATCCCGTCCTTGTGTCCTGCCCAGACACCAAGTGGTGCAACACACTCGGCGAGGACGAGGGTCCCCAGTGGACAAGCATGTATTCCTCCCTGATCCCGCGAGGCACCAGGGACCTCAGCTGGCAGCTCCTTCACAGAACCAGTGCCATAGATGTGCATCTGGCATAGTTTATGGATGCCCCTGACACCTGCCCCTTCGCGGGAGACCCTGACACACGCCAACCTGAAGTGTGCCAGGCTGCAGCTCCTCCAGAGCCGTCTGCTGCGGTTCTGGCTTCCCTACTTCCTGCACCTTTTCATTTATGCACTCCGCATCCATGGCCCCACCAAGTCCTGGGGCCTCTTGGTTAATCTCTTCCTGGCTGTGGCTAAGCTTGTGATCTATCTGACCAGGAAGGAGACTCTGGCTGGGAGACACCCGGGCACCGTGGGGCCGCTTTCCTGTCTCCTTGTCCGTTCATGTGTCTGGTCAGAGTTTCACTGCGCAGTGTCCACTGGCTCACTGGACTCATTCATAGGCCAGTGGGTGCTGCCTGGTGTGCTCTGCTTGGTGTACCTCTTCAATGCACTTGCTTTGAACCTATGACCCTCGCTCCCATCCTGGTTATGTTTTTCTATTTTCCTAAGTAATCAGTGATGGGCTTATAGCTCTACTTGGTGGGCTTTGGCCCACCATGCTGAATGGCATATCTAAAGGCTTGTTCAAGATTCCTGTTCTGCAGTAACACCATGTACTAAGATCACAACTGCGCTTTCAAAATTACCACTCCAAGGAGCAATATGCAACACTTGACATCAGTAAACACCAGGTGATTAATCCAAACCAATGTGGGATTTCTTAACCTGATACACACACACACACACACCCCCCTCCACAAGCACATCACAGGACAGTCCCAGAGCTGGAATAAAGTTTGACAGAGCTCCACTGATTTCAGTGTGGTTACCATCATTTATACCAGCTGAAGGGCCAGCTGCCTGTTTGCCCAGGCTTTGAACCACCAAGGAACCACGCCTGGAGACGTACATCCAAGCACAGCCTCCCTCACACAATTGTCTTCACCACGTGCCTGTCGAAACACACCCGTCTGTCGCTCAGAGCGCTTGAAATGCAACCGCTGAGACGCTGGCCAATGCTACTGTCCAGCATTGAACAGGCAGGCGGGGACCTGACCTGACGGATGTCTCCCCTGCAGAGTGCAGCGCATTGCAGAGATGCCCGAGCAGCTCGGGTATCAGAAGGAGCCTCGTTCGGGAGGCACGAGCTCTGGGCGCTGCAACTAGATGGCTATCCAGGATCACTATCTTAGGATCCCCCTGTGATGAGATCAATCCCTCTGGTCCTCATTAGTGCCCTTGCTCTGTAGTGCCAGAGTCAATCTTGCCTTCCTTAGCAATGCCTGTGCCTGTCTGTGTCACACTCATCAAAGCACCTGTCACCCGTGCAGCGCTGCTACGCAGAGGCCTGTGGCCAGGGCCTGGACTGAGCCAGCCGAATCTGATCTGAGACAACTCCCCTCTGTGACAGAGGAGGGGCATCTCCCCTGCCCTGTGCTGGGCAATCCTCCCGCTGCATCTCCAGCCAGGCGGAAGGGCTCAGTGGCAAACCCACAAGCCTGGCACAATGCATCCAGGCCCAGGCTACAGCCCCAGCATCAACCTGCCTCCCACTTCAGCGACTGAGTCCACTGTAAGACACACCTGGCTCAGCTGCATCATGAATGCAGGCTGACCCCAGCCAGTCTGTTAGGGAGAAAGCGCCCATGGGGCTTGCCAAGGAGATGTGTGAGCCCCCGACTCCTTATCTGGGGCCGGGGAGAAGGGATGCCGGCTTGGAAGGGCTCTGTGTTTTTGCCCCCTGATGGCATGGGGCTCTGGGAGCAGGGTCTGGCTGCTGGGGTCTCCTGGAGACCCCCTCCTCTCTACCCAGCCCAGTGTCTCATACCTGCATCATACTGGGGTGTGTGAGGCAGCATCCTCGCATAGTGCTCTGTAGCAGGTCAGCTCAGCATGTCCTGTCTTTGCCTTGCTGGAGGCGATGTCCCAGGCCCTGTCCGAGGTAACTGCATTTGCTCTCGCAGTTGCAAGGCACTTGGAGGTGCTGAGGTTTGCTAGCCACTGGGCTGTACAAGACAAGACCCCTGCCCCAGAGAGCTGGAGGTTGGGCCAGGCAGGGCATATGCCACTGCAGTATGTCAGGGAAGGTCTCTGTCCACCTGCAGCAGCGCTGAGATCAGCTTTGAACCCTCAGCCTGGTTTGCTGGCATCCTTCTTTAGGGCAGGCTGAGCACTCCTCCTGCCAGGCAGCACCTTCCCCTCCACAGGGCTTCTGAGATGTGATCTGCTTCAGCATCCCGTGCACTGGGGTGTGTGGAGGCAGCAGCATGATGGGGTGCCCCAAGGGGGAGATGGGCTCAAGCCCTAGGCTGTGGCTAGACATGGGAGATGTGCTGGGGCTCTGCTTTCTCAACACCTCTCAGGTGCCTGGCTGGTGGGTCTTGCTGAGGATTAGATCTGTGACCGTTCCCCAGTCATGTTGGCAAGGAGAGATTGGGTTTTTTTGCCTTCTGCTGCAGCATGGGGTACCATCCACCTCCTAGCACCACCTGAGTACAGTTCAACTCCCAAACTCCCTGCCCATGCTAGTCCCCCTGGCACTGCCAGCACCCTGGCCTCTCCTGCTCTGCTCCTGTAGCCTAGGGAGAGCAGTGCCCCATCTCTGTCTGCAGAGCTCCCCTCACCATGATGCAGGGTGAGGCCTTCCTAGACCGCTGCACACCAAGGTCCTGCTGACCCTGATGCAGTGCACAGGCACTAGTAGCAGGAGGATGCCTGGCTACACCAGCACGTGCATCGTTGTCACTGTCACCTCATGTGGAACCTGCCTGGGGAGCAAGGACTGGGAGGTTTTGGTGCTAAATTCAAGTGCAGACACTGTCCCAGGGGACCTGGATCCTCTAACTGGAGGTAAGAGGTCCCTGCAGCCAACTGTCCAAATTTGGGATGAAACTCACATTTCAATGCCTCTTTGTGGGATGCAGCTCAGCGGGAAAATCCAGGAGGGTTGGTATCTTTATGTGCATGGAAATAAGTGATCGCAGGGGCTGTTCTTTTTACTCCAGACAGGCCCAGGTCCTGCTTCCCAAGCTTTCAAGAAGCCCGAGATCCTCTGATTGGTGGGTATCATCGCTCCCAGATCACGGAGGGAGAAGGGGGCAGCAGGGTGGAAAGTGTCTCACTGGGGATAACATTATGAGTCTGTGGCAGAGCTGGAAATAGGAGTGTGAGGCCCTGATGCCCCTGAAACATGCTCTGATGCTGGGGAAGAAGCAGGAGACTTCACAGAAACAACCCAGCAGCGAGTGCCCAGTCGACCTGTCTGCCCTCGATCAGCACTGCCGTTCCCTGTCGCCTTGTGGAACCAGCAAAGCCATGCCAGGAACCAGCTGGCTTCTGCTCTCCCTGGCACAGCCAGGACTCCCCGTCAGCTCCGTTCGGAGGTGGGGATCTCTATTCCAGGATGTGAGCCCAGATGCACAAAGAGTGGGGCTGGATTTTCATTTGGCCCACAAACCCAACCAGCGTAATCATGGGCGACTGGTGCCTCCTGAGTCTGGGGGACACCAGATCGCCAATGGGGGGCAGGGAGGAGGGTCCCACAGCAGCGGCCGATTGCCAACCGGGGGGCATCCCCCAGCAGCCGAGCACCGAGCCAGTGGTGAAACCAGAAGTGCACTTCCAGTTTCGTGGCTGGCGCTTCCAGGGGGTGCATGGCCGATCTTAGGGGGTGTATGTGCACCCGTGTGCAACTCCTACACGTCGCCAATGAGCATAATCTAGAAACAGCAGGACAGATCCTGTTTCATACTGATGTAAATCTGGAAGAGCTGGAAGGAAACTGAGCAGGAAGAATACAAGAATTCCTGCTTCTGCTCTCACCCCCTCAGGCATGCTCCTGCTTTCACTCCTCTCATATGGCCAAGTGTGACATTGGCCCACCATGGGGCCACTATCACATCATCACACCTGCTTGGCTCTCCTGAACCTTTGCATTAAGAGCTTTGCTGTTCCACGATCCTGGACCTGAGTTGGTGTAACCCAGGCTCAGATCCCAAGCAAACCACAGCTCACTTTCACATCTGGAGCAGCTCTGGCCCTGGGAATTCACAGCTTAGCCAGGCTTTAGTCATGGTAGCACCT